AGAAACAAAATAAAGTAAACAGACGCAGAATATATATCTATTATTTGGCAGATGCGAATGTTTTAATATCATACATTTTCATTATATAAACAATTTGTTTTTTATAAAATTTGAGATAGATATTAAAGGAACATTGATAATTTTCAAACACATCTATTTTATCCACCTCAAACAGTAAAATAATGATAGAACGAGGGTGCCATAGTCACAAAATACGCCCGTTTACGAAAGCTTTAGATGGAGATGGGGGCATTATGGATAAGTGTTATCTAGCAAGCAAGTTTTTATTCTTGGCACTGTGTTGTTAAATGAACCTTAAAACAAATCAGTAGGGAAGATATGCACAGGATGTGTGACCTTGACCTTGGTCGCAGGGACCTGAAATTTATGCACGGCACTCAGCCTCACAATGATGAACATTTGTGCCAAATTATATTGAAATCCCTCTATGCATGTAGAAGTTTTGCTCCAGACAAGCGTTTTTCTATGAGCTCTAACTGTGACCTTCACCTTTGACCTAGAGACTTGGTTCATGTGCAGGGCACTACGTCTCATGGTGGTGAACAATTCTATAAAGTAACATTAAAATTCCTCCATGCATGTAGAAAAAATATGCTACGGACAACATCTGGATATTTAATCATCTCCAGTGACCTTGACCTTGCAAATATTAACCTAAATTAAATGTGTCACACCTGTAGTCATGATAGTTACCATTTGTGCTACAATCCATCAATAAATGATGACTAAATGGTCCCTATACACATCTTCAAATTTTTATCTGAACTTTGACCTCTATGTGTAACATTGACTTTGGTCGCAGGGATCTGAATTTTGCGTGCGACACTCAGCCTCACAATGGTGAACATTTGTGCCAAGTTATATTGAAATCCCCCTATGAATGTAGAAGTTTTGCTCCGGACAAGCGTTTTTCAATGAGCTCTAAGTGTGACCTTGACCTTTGACCTGGAGACCTGGATCATGCATGGAGCAATACATATCATGGTGGTGAACATTTCCATAAAGTATTATAAAAATTCTTCCATACATGTAGGAGATATGCTCCAGACAAAATCTGGATATTTCACCATCTTTAGTGACCTTGACCTTGCATATATTGACCTAAAGTACATGTGTCACAGCCGTAGTCATGATAATGACCATTTGTGTTACAATCCCTCAATAAATGATGATTAAATCGGCCCTATACACATCTTCATATTTTTATCTAAACTTTGACCTCTATGTGTGACCTTGACCTTGGCCGCAAGGACCTGAATCTTGCGCGCGACACTCCACCTCACAATGGTGAACATTTGTGCCAAGTAATATTGAAATCCCTCTATACATGTGGAAGTTTTGCTCCGGACAAGCAATTTTAAATGAGCTCCAAGTGTGACTTTGACCTAGAGACCTGGTTCATGTGCGCGACACTGCTCCTCATAGTGGTGAACATTTCTATGAAGTTTCATGAAAATCCCTCCATACATGTAGGAGAGCTGAACTGATATTTACTTGAAAATTAAAATATAATTAAATTTCTATGAGAAAGTATTTACATTTGATAAGGTAATTACTGTATGATCTTTATGAACAAATACCAAGTCTACAGAACACCATAGTTATCACAGTTAAGAATCTTGACCAATGAATGAAACATGTGTAAATAAATGTTACATTCTTTAGAACATACTCAAGTCCAAGAAAGAGGATTATTTTATGCCCTTTGATTAAATTCTATTTTTAGAATTGAAAGTGAAAGTAGATCAAGGGGAGTAATTGTGTAAGTCATTTATGAACAAAGTAATAACTTTGTTGTCGCCCTTTGATTAAATTCTATTTACAAAATCTGGATATTTCATCATCTTTAGTGACCTTGACCTTGTATATATTGACCTAAATTATATGTATCACAGCCATAGTCTTGATAATGACCATTTGTGTTACAATCCCTCAATAAATGATGACTAAATGGTCCATATACACATCTTCATATTTTTATCTGAACTTTGACCCTATGTGTGGCCTTAACCTAGGTAGCAGGGACCTAAATTTTGCATATGACACTCCACCTCACAATGGTGAACATATGTGCCAAGTTGTATTGAAATCCCTCTATACATGTGGAAGTTTTGCTCCGGACAAGCATTTTTCAATGAGCTCTAAGTGTGACCTTGACCTTTGACCTAGAGACCTGGTTCATGTGCGCGACACTGGTCCTCATAGTGGTGAACATTTCTATGAAGTTTCATTAAAATCCCTCCATACATGTAGGAGATATGCTCCGGACAAAATTGGAAGTTTTGCTCCGGACAAGCATTTTTCAATGAGCTCTAAGTGTGACCTTGACCTTTGACCTAGAGACCTGGTTCATGTGCACGACACTGGTCCTCATAGTGGTGAACATTTCTATGAAGTTTCATTAAAATGAATTCCTCCATACATGTAGGAGATATCCCCTCCGGACAAAATTGGACGCGCGTTCTCCGCCCGCCCGCCAGGGGCGTTCCCATAATACATCCCCCTTTTTCAAACGGGCGTATAAAAAAGGGAAATATCACTTATAGTAATATGTACCTATAATTAGGTTTAATTCCGAGAAGTTAAATCCGTAACGTACCCGGAAAGCGGCATTAAGCTAGACTTTTCGAAAAAGTCAAATATTTAACCAATCATGTTATGGGTTTAAACAGATTACATCTCCTCCCATGTACCAAAAACAGGTGCGTCTCCTCGATGCGGTCAAAAATAATGGCGGTCCCCACACGCCTGCGGCTTGCAGTCCACAGGGAATAAAACCGCCATGATAAATTCAGATTTCTATCAATCACACAGCACCTGTCATTACTGACGCCAGTTTATTCCCTGAGTTTAGGGAATACATTGCATCCCTCTAAATACCCTGTCTTTAAGAGATATCAAACGAGAAGACAGCCTCATCCAAGTACAACACATAAAATAACTGGAAAGAATGTCACTGTGCACTGCAAATATACTTTTCAGAATGATGACGTCACATTTATTTATTTTGGCACCCCTTGTTCAATTAGGTACTAGGTTAAAAGTAAGTTAAAATGTCTTTTTTAAATCGTTCCCTTTGCATATATACAAGAAGAATTGTTTAGTAAGTAAATGAATATTATTTCACTCGTGAACACCAAATACTTTGGTGCTCACAGTCCGTGAAATTTTATTCCAATCTAACTAAAACAATATCCCAATATCTTTGGTCTCCCTTGAACTACTCAGATATATGTTAAGTTTTAAAGTGTAACAAACAATTAAGGCAACTTAAACTCTCATTATCAAATTTATAAAACAAACTACTAACACTTCTAAAGTAAATTTACCAGTATTAAAAATGTGGACGCTTAATAAGAACGGTCAAAAATGTCCGATTTGCATTGGTGTGCAATAAGTGTGCAGGAGACCAACATGCAGTAACTCAATGTTAATTGTGATAGCGGCAAGCTACCGAACAATGTGCAATAACTGTCAGCTTAGGTCATTTCATATAAATCATTATATTAAATGTAAAATAAGGCATTTCTCCAAAATTATTAAATTGCACATATAATTATATACTGATTTAATGATTTATTAACCCAATTATACAATCAACCGTGTAATTCTTGAAAAAAAAAATTGAAACAATTTTTACATGTTAAAAATCTGTAACTTTTATTGTAAAAAATAATATTCATAAAAATGTCTGTTCACATTCACATAGTTATACCGGGTATTTGTTTTATTTTAAGCATGAAAATTCCAGCCTGTAAAAGTAACCAAGGAAAAACACGAAATTGGGGAGAGAAACTATCTTTCCAGGAATTAAAACACGTAATTTTTAAAAGAGCTGGAAATACTGAAAAGTATGGCGGAATTTTCTATTTTTACGGGCTTGTGACGTAAAATTTGAACTTTAGAATTGCAGGTGTTGAAACGAATAAAAATCTAAGTTCCATTCACCCCGTAAATATAATACTGCTGTAAAAGTGACTAGGTTTTATTTGGAATCTGACTTAAAATTGAACCTATTTATTCTATGTACAGAAAATATTCAATTGCTGATAAATATTTGTTGCTACTCTGTGCAAAATAACAGCAATGCTCAATAAGTTTGACCTGCTCTTTGTTAAATGAATTTGTCTATTTATATTTTGTATAGAACGATTGACCCAGTACTACACTTCGCATGTTCTGCTAACAAAATTAAAAGTGAATAGAGCCAAAGGCAGTTAATTAAACTCCAAAATTATGCAAAAAGTTATATATGGTTCTAAAACACTGCACTCAAAAAGATCTATCCATTTATTAATACCTCCAATAGTTTTAAAGTTGTATGATTAAGACAAAAAATAAGCAAGAAAAAAGTACAAAAAGGGAAAATAACCCCCAAATCATACAATAAAGAGTTATGGTTCTTAGGCATTGCACTTCTCATAAATGAGATCTACTTATATGTGGGAGATTAGAATTATTGTCTCTAACATTTTTGTGTTATGCATTTCAGACAAAACTTACAAAAGGCAATAACTCCATTACTTTGCAGGAGAGTTACAGTATGTATTCTTAAGAAAAAAACATGAATCAATATAATACAATAATGAAGCAATGTGCTTATACATTATACCCCACTGTGAAACTAAGTCATAGTATGCCCTTGAGGCTTTAAATCTATTGTGCAAATAATGCCTGGTAATTTCTTATAACCAGGATAAATAAATACTGGTGAAGGGCCGAAACGTCTGGGGACGAAACGTCTGGGGTAATTAGAGACCGAAAAGCCATGGAAAATCCTAAATGTCCTGTTAAGTAGAGTAGTAAATATACTCACAAATATTGTCTGATATAACAATCCCAATTGTTATGGTAAACTTAAAACAAATTTCGATAAGACTTTCTGTTATTAGATCGTTTGTGTTATGTCCACTGGAACTAGTTGTATGACACGAGGCGAAAAATTATATACTTCCGTATAAGTTGTACTTTGGACCTACCTAAAAGACACGGCCCTGCTTGATTTAATAATTTCCACAAATGTCCACCGAAACTAGATCCCTCATATATGAATGAGGTGAGACTTCGACGAAAATATACTTCCGCGTACTGTACTGGGGATCTACCTAAAAGACGCGCTTGATTTAGTTCCATAATTTGTACACTTACTGTAGACTGTACTGTAAACGTTCTTCTTTAATGCATTGCTGTGATGCATTCGATACGAAAGTGACTTAAAGTATAAAATCTCAAATAGATCAAAACTTACTGGTCGGGCAACATCAATCGGACACTTTTTATATACAGATGATTTCAAAATGATCGGAAAATTTGACATAGATCTCCTAACTTATATGAGGCCCGTCAAGGAGGGTATCAAAATTACCTAAATTGCCCACACTATGTACGGACAGATATGAAATGACGCTGATTTAATTCAGATAAAAGCTTGGATGTGTTATTTTTTTTTTATTTAACATGGTGTACAATATTTCAGCAATAAATGCTGAATTTTTTGATAGCTTATTGTTTACTGTAAATGATTAAAACTATAAGAGCTAGGTCTCGATGGTAAAGCAGTGTCCAAATTTTCAACGTATAGACATTAAAGGGACTCCACTGAGGTTTTTTGACATGGCGGGACTGGAAATAATTTTTTGAGATTATTACTCCATTTGATGAACATCTATACTGAAATAACTTATGTGCAAAATTTTAGATCATTAGCCCGCTTCGTTTTTTCCAGAATAATTATTATAATAGTGAAAATTGACCCAAAATTGGAAGCGTTTTCAAAAAACGCTTTCACTCAAATCGGACTGAGAATAGCACACACATACAATTTTCAATGTATTTCTTGTATATTTCTTAGTAATATTTTATTTATATTTCTGTTTTAAGTGCTCATGTTGATCTGTATGAAAAATTAAAATTTTATATTTTTAACCTTACAAATCTCAGTGGAGTTCCTTTAAGATATTACTGTTCAAGAGCTATCACTATATGTGATTAATACCTTGTACATAAAGAATTGAAATGATTGTTTGATACATTGTAAAAGAATTGAAATAGAGTTGTGGTTGTGGACAATTTTAGATAGTTGTAGTTCTTGTATATTGCATTTCCTTTCACCGTGGTTGACCATTGATGAAGTTTTATTGAATTACTTTGTAATAAGTCCAGAAAGAGTTATGGTTCTTTAGCACTGCACTTCCTCTCATTGCACTTTAAAACCATTGTATGAAGTTGCATTGAATTCCAACCATTAATTTTCCAAGTTATGCAATGGACAATAAAAAGTACAAAGGGCAATAACTCTAAAATGAGTCAAGAAAGAGCTATGGTTCGTGTGCATTGTGCTTCCTCTCAATATACTTGACCATTTTACGAACTTGTATTGAATTCCAACCAGTACATTTCATGTTATGCTCTACGACAAGGAAAAGTATGTAAAGTGTATGTATATGTATTCTAGTCTTAATGAGGGTCCATTCACCCTTTCAGGCACTGAGAGTACGGACCCCGGACATGTCACCATTCATGTCCTTAAATGTTACTATCAATCAAAAGGTGACCTGTTTAATTCACTGAATAGGTATGCAAGTCGATTTTTGTGATGATACAATTTTGATGCACGGGCGGCCAATGAAACCATTATATGCATCATGGAGAAAAATAAATGATGAGAAGATTATGCAACTCGGACTGATACCTGACACATATTTTCCGTATGCACGACCGACATGCACGAGCATTCTTTCAAGGTTTTAACAGGCGAATTTGTAATGAAATTCTAGCCAAACATTGGTTTCTTTTTCAATTTTGTGTAATAATAATAATGAGAATATCCCAAAACTGGGGAAATATTATGCTCCTATGGAAAAGTAACAAAGGACAATAACTCTGTTATTACTGTAACGTGCACGGGCTATATAATTTTTCTCATGGCTACTTTGCCAGTTGATTGGTTACAAATGATTATAAAATGATTTATTCAAACTTTGAAAACAATAATTGTTTATAACAGTAACGTGCCTTTATAGCTGATGTGCTTTACTTGAACTTTATATAGAATTGGGGTGACACTTTTTAGGCTATTTATTATATAGAAAAACCACTTGGATATCGAGTTTTCAATACTTTAGTAATAACAAGATAGAGTTATGGTTCTTGTGTAATGCACCTCCGCTTATTGTGCTATGAAATTGTTTGGAAATCCAACAAGCACTTTTCAATTTACGCTCCGGGCAAGGAAAAGTATCAAAGAGCAACAACTCTGAAATAAGTCAAAATGAAGTTATAGTTCTTATGCACTGCACTTCCTCTCAATGTGCTTGACAATTGTATGAAGTTGTAATGAATTCCAACTAGTGGTTTTCAAGTTATTCTCTTGACAAGAACTTGTGAATAAAAATCATGCAAATAAATGGAGATTAAGTATAGGTTAAAGTTTATAAGAATGTATTTACAAAAATAAATTGGTCAGACGCGGCGCAATTTATTTTTTGTAAATACGTACTAATAAATTTTAACCGGCTTAGTGTTTTAAATTATTTTTATAAACAGTCGATTTACTAGACTGATAAACAGTGTGCCTATTTACCAAAGTAAATGTGTTACGATTCATTTGAAATACTGCAATCCTTTTGGGCAAAAAATAATTTCAAACACTAAATCATCATAAAGATTATACGATTGCAGTATTTCAAATGGCGCCTGACCAATTTATTTTTGTAAATACGTACTTATAAACTTTAACCTATACATAAAGATTATTTTTGAAAATGAATATTATTAATTTCTAATAATACGTCTACAAACTGCAATTTTTATTGTAAATTCTATACATTAATATTCACATCTGAACTTGTCTATAAAAATTATGGGGAAAAATGGAGATTAAACCATCATAATAATTATTTTTGAAAATAAATATTATGCATTACATCTTCAAACTTCAATTTTATTGTAAACGCTGTAATTCATACTTTTAAGTCACTTTCGCTCACATTCGTCAAAAAAGTCACCAAAGCCTGTAGCCAAATCAATCTTCCCATTAAAAATTGACCCTTGCTATTATTCACCAGCAAAATATATGTTTCAATAACATACATACAATTGTCAATTATTTTGGAAATACAGTCAGCTTTTTTTAGCTCACCTGAGCATATGCTCAGGGTGAGCTATTAGGATCACTCTTCGTCCGTCGTCTGTCGTCCGTCGTCCGTTGTCCGTTCACACTTTTAAAACGACATCTCCTCTGAAACCATAAGGCAGATCATAATGAAACTTCACAGGGATGTTCCTTGTGTGAAGCCTTAACAAAGTTGTTCAAAGAATTCCATTCCATGCAGAACTCTGGTTGCCATGGCAACCGAAAGAAAAAACTTTAAATATCTTCTTATAAAAAACCCAAAGAGCTAGAGCTTAGATATTTGGCAAGAAACATCTTCTAGTGAGTGTCTACCAAGTTTGTTCAAATTAAAGCCCTGGGGTCAAAATTGGCCCCGCCCCAGGGGGTCATTGATTTTCCCTATATGCATACAGTAAAAACTTTAAAAAATCTTCTTTTAAAGTACCCAAAGAGCTAGAGCTAAGATATTTAGCTTGAAACATCTTCTAATGAGTGTCTACTAAGTTTGTTCAAATAAAAGCCCTGGGGTCAAAATTGGCCCTGCCCCAGGGGGTCATTGATTTTCCCTATATGCATATAGTAAAAACTTAAAAAATCTTTTTTGAAATAACACAAATAGCTAGAGTTTAGATATTAAGCATGAAATATCTTCTAGTGAGTCTCTACAAAGTTTGTTCAAATAAAAGCCCTGGGGTCAAAATTGGCCCCGCCTGGGGGTCATTGATTTGCCTTATAAATGTATAGCAAAAACTTAAAAATCTTTTTTGAAAAAACCCAAATAGCTAGAGTTTAGATATTAAGCATGAAACATCTTCTAGTGAGTGTCTACAAAGTTTGTTCAAATAAAAGCCCTTGGGTCAAAACTGGCCCCGCCCCAGGGGTGTCATTGTTTTTAACTATATGTGTATAGCAAACACTTTAAAAAAAAACCCAATGAGCTAGAGCTTAGATGTTTAGCATGAAACATCTTCTTATGGGTGTCTACCAAGTTTGTTCAAATAAAAGCCCTTGGGTTTAAACTGGCCCCGCCCCGGGGGCCTATATACAGGTGAGCGACCTCAGGGCCATCATGGCCCTCTTGTTTTGTTTTGCATGTTTACGTACATCTATGGAATATACTCGTATACATGTAATGCATATTTTAGATTTTAATATTGCGCTTATATTATCGTTAAAAACTTCATCACATCATATTGATTAATTTAATATCTTTACAGGAATTGGAAATTTCTTATGTGTTTATTTGTCGGCATTACGGCATAGAAGACGATCAGCTTCATGTTGTCACGTGATCATCCGCAGTGTATTATTTCAAGTAAATTTGTTAAAATTACTTCAAACACCCTTTTGCTAACAAAAATCAACAATTTCTTTAATTCCGTGAGTAACGGTATTTTGAACTTCTTCTAATGCCTATCTGTAAGAACAGGATTGATGGCCTGGCTAATCCGATAATAGCATAAATCGGAACGCCCTAGGCTATTATCTACAAGTTTGCTTCTTTAAAAAAATCGAAAAAAAAAATGGAGAAAGGCACAATGAATGTTTAAAAATTATATTAAGTAATAAGTATAGTACATGAAACGAGTTAGTTACGAGGATTTAACACTGGCTGGGGCGACAGCAAGGGATGTTTCTGCTAAAAAATGGCGAGACCGTTAGGCCGAGACAATTTTTTGCAGAAACATCCGGAGATGTCGCCCAGCCAGTGTTATATCCTCGTAACTAACTCGTTTCATATACTATAACTGTTTTATCGCAATGGCATAATGTTTTCTTTTTATAACAGAAGTAAATAAATAAAAATAAATAAATCGTTCGCTACATTACAGCTATTTATGATAAGGCAGTTTTTTCAAGTTGTTTTCGCTGCCGCAAAAAAAAGATATACAAAAGACATCCAATGTTAGAGGCGGATTGTAAACTGTTACCAATGTTGATTCAAGATTAAAGGGCTTTTTTTCAGTGGAAATAATTTATTCAGCGGATGTACCTTTTGATTAAATGAGAATTATCTTTGTTAATATTT